TATATCTTTCGTTATATAATAAATAAATACATGTATACCAGACACTCAGCAAATCACCTGTCAAATATTATCTTCAAACTATATATAATACAATACTTGTAGTAAGTATTGTTTTTCAAATGCATTATGTAGGGACAACTTAGCATGAACGCTCTCATGCCTAGCCAATTTCATCGCCAATGTGACTCATACGCACTGGCGGCAGTATTTTACACGCTCACAATTCCCAACTGGGTTTTCTGTATATAAATATGCGCACATACCGTTGCTAGAGTATTTGTGTGAGTGCTACTTCCTTCATTGTCATTTGTATATATCAAAGCTCATTCATTTGCGGTATCAATTAGCGGTGGCGGTCTGAATTCGCCCGCTTAGAATTCTAATCAAATTAGCATTTCACTACTGAAGCTTCTACTATCTTTTCTAACTTGCATATACATAAACGTGATTGCAGTAATACCTGTGTGCAGTGCCTGTATCTCTTTTGCACTAAACGATGTCATTTAGTGTTAAATAAATGTGTTTGTTTCCGCTCTATGCATTTAACATTTTTGTCATAGAAATTGCAACAATTTTGGTTTCTATTTCCTTCATTTTTGTTCCAGTGAACTAATAAATTTTGAATGTAAAATAATTGTTGAATGATGGGTGGTAAATTTATATGTTAATATTGTATTATTTAGATACACAACTAATGGCCTACATATAATTAATACTTAATTAAATTTTTGCTTTATATTAGGGGATACTAAAATGTAAAATGTGAAATTTTATCTAAAAGGATATGAATAAGAAGAGGATTAGTTAGGAAAAGGAATTTTAATAAATATCCTAAAATTCATTTCTCTAATTAGTCATTTTTTCTTTTATATTTGTGAGTACTACTTATACTCACTCTATTTGCGATCCCACTTAGGGAAGAGAACCTCAAATAGATGAATAGATGTGAACATCGAACTTTAAGTATTATTTATATTCAATTTGGCACACGGCCGCTTCATAGGAAGCCTACTGTGCGAGTGACCCGCAACGCACCTTATTTCATGACATTGACTCCCGTCCCGTGGCCCAATGACGACTATTTTGTAATACATACATACAGGTTGGTTTTAAAGTAAGTATTTTCTCAAGTTGATACATATGTCATGAGAACACATGCTTACAAGTCATTCTGTCAATTAATTCTTTGTTTACATTCAAAATTGACGTGTCAGAGTATTTTTTTCTGATTAGATTCTTTAATTTTAAAGGTTTAACAGCAAAGGAATTTTATGAATAATTAATATAAATGTATAAGGAGTCCTCACCTTCAAAACGCACCGTTGAATTTTGATTGGTGCATTTAAACGTGGAATTAAGGTGGAATCTGTCCAATCTTTACATTTGTATTCGCGATATTCTGGATTTACCTGCTAAGCTCTTCTTAAATATACAATACGTATGTAATGTCAACCAGGCGTGCAAATCACTTACTGAAGTATCGAAGCACCAAAGTATGAAAGTGATATGTAAATTAGCTATAGCAATGTTAAGCTACGAACTGCAATGTCAGACAACTTGATCTTATATAAGGTGTATAAGCCATTTATATAACTTATATAAGATGTAAATACGCATATATTTTACATTTACGCACTTACTCCCTTCCAGAGTTTTGTTGATACAATTTACAAAATTAATAAAAGCTATAAAAATATTTAATTTTCGTTATATTCATTATCCGCATCATTATCAAGAGTTGATCCACATTCAGACACCTTGAACTAGAGCGCCATTTCATTGTTAGACATAACATTGATTATTGCATTATAATAAAGTTACGTATACGTCATGTTGAGCTCAAGTGTTGTAAAGATAGTATGTCTGTACAATTTAATCGCTAACTAGCATACAAAACCACATGTTTGTAAATATTCATATCACAAGAAGTGTATTTATGGTGCAAGGCAAATTATTGCTTTCTAATATGGGCAAGGCAAATTATTTTAAACATAACATATTATATCTTGAACAGGTGCCACGAAGTTAATAACACCCAGAAGGAAACATCGGATAAAATATACATATAAAGGATCAGTATGATGAGCTCGTGATATTTAGCCACGTCCGTCTGTCTGTTCATCTCTCTGTATATATGTATGTCCCTCAGTTTTTAAGATATCGATATGGAAATTTTGCACAAGTGTTTACTCTCCAAGAAGCTGCTGACTTGACGAGTTATTTTCACGAAATTCGGCACGGGTCTTTAACCAAGACAAAAATACAATATCCTAAGAAAATGTTTAGATCAAATCACTATAGCATATAGCTGCCATACAAACTTAACGATCGGTAAGTTCTTGCAAGGAAGCTTTTGTATATGTGAAGTGTATTATAGCTTCGGTGCAACCGAAGTTAACATTTTTTCTTGTTTTAACTGAACTCAAAAAAATAAGCAGCTTTTAAGCATGTGTGATCATTGAAAACTAAATTCAGCATAGGGTATAGAACTATGCTTTTATGAAAAAGACTTAGGTGAAAAATTTACGCTCCTCAGGAGGTCAGAAAGCATCATTCAATGCTGGAAAAAGATGGTATGAATTTAAAAGTACAGCCTGGAGTAAAAAGGTCCTAAACACATGCTTATGTATATTTTGTGTTTATTTGTGAGCTGCCGGAAAATTAAAAGCGCAGAAATACTGCATGACGGAAAACGTGCATAAACTTTTATGAAAATTCACTATAAAAACACTTAACTTTAATAGCCTTGCGGTGAGAAATCTCTACGTAAGGATATGTGAGTTCATTGTATACAAAAGGTTAGTAGTAGAAAACACGTAGGTGGTAATTACATTAAAATTGAAAAATAGAAAGAAATTTGCGTATTTAAAGCACATAAAGTTGTAAGTGTATATAAAACATATATTTTTATTTACTTAATATTCGATATACAAAAGTTAAATACATAATATGATTGAACTAACCGTCCTTCTAATTTCATATAGTTTTGTTAAACTTACTTGTATATATTTTTCAAACGTGGCTTTCAGACCTAGCCAATTTCATCAACAATAGTGCTTATACTCCCAATTAGCAGTCAATTATACCCTTCATATTACCACAATTTTTGTCTATAAATATGATAACACACCAGTTTTAGAAAGTGTATACGAATGTAGCTCCCTCAAATTTTACTTGCTGCTATTAAAGCGCATTCACTCGCTGCACCTATGTTATTCTAATCAAGTTAGCATTTCGCTACCGAAGCTTCAACTCTCTTTTCCAATTCACAATAATAAAAATTGCAACCATTTTGGTTCCACACATTTCATTTAATTTTCGTGTCAAATAATTACTTTTTATAAATGTCCAATTTAGTGGTGTTTATTCTCGATATTATTCTCCTATAAAATCAGCTTTCTTATTTTATCAGGTTGAACAAATAAATTTAATGGCCAAATTCAATATGTTTACCAACAATTCGTCATGTATTGCAACCTATTTTTTAATTAATGAATGAATCCGTCCTAGTGGCATCTTAAATTTCGGAAGATCAAATCACAACTAATTTTCGTACCAAAATGACACAACTATGCGTGTACAGATTTTCATATTTCGCTAGCAGTTCATCAAATCTCTCAACGTATTTTCGCAGACAACGCGTCAATATGATGCAACACTTTCGACACTGACATTCAGCTCGTTATTTGTTTGATATCATTTTCCATTGAGATTTGTAACATGAAAGGCGATCGCTGGAGCTGAAGCAGGTTTTTGTGCGAAAATATGAAAATAGTTTTATATTAAGTTTAGTTTTATATTAAAAATTGATCTAATAAGTTTATATACATGGTTTGACAGTTAGGCAGAATGCATGTCAGAACCGACTTTGTCTATTTGTTCGAAAAAAGCGCTGCTAACAAAAAGTTTTAGGTTGTGGACAAGTTTTGCCTATCCGTTGTTTTGTATATAATAGTTTGATATGTTTTTGTGATTCAATGTACATTTTTTTTATTACTTAAAATAACATTCATGATAAAAGAACTGTTGAAGTACACATGCAATCATAAACGTTTAAATAGCTGCTACTACGTCAGACGTCAGATCGAGTTAACCGTGTTTTACCCTTAAAAATTCAACCACGCCCCTCCCTTCCTCTTCTCGAACTCAGATGGCCAAAAATTTATTTGTTCTTTAGTTTTTGTTATTTTATCTTTCGTTCCAATTGATTTCAACCTTGTATGATTTTTAACTTTTTACCATTTTCAAAGGTTTCTGCACTATTCTAACACGTTTATCTATTCAGACATATTCGTATGCACTATCGATGCCAAAATAGGTGCGTATTTTAATCAAATAAATGTATAACAATATCGAAAGCTGCTTTCAGCGTGAAAAGTTTTGACCACACCAATTTGCCACATAACAAGCAAACTCTCAGGAGTAAATTGTTAATGTCCAGAAAAGTTTTGCGCCATTTCTTGGTGATGCAAGTAAATAACGCATGTTGTGCTCACTTCTACTCTGCGAGGCAAATATCGCAATTCTATAAAATCAGATGCAGCGAATAAGTCAGAATCAGCCAATACTTGTAGGAAAATTGTTGGTAGGTATGTATGTTGTTTCCTATATGTGTCTTACTGTGTGTGTGTATGGATTCTTTAGACAACGGTAGTTCGCATGCGACTGGCGTTAACAGGAAATGACACGGTTTCCTTGCTAAAAGTCCTGAACTCAAAGATTTTGCAGAGGCTAACAAGGTTCTAATAGAAAATAAGTGAATCCAGTTTTTCGTGAAATTAATAAATCTATCAAGGTTATAAACCTTAATTAAAACTTTTAATACTGTTACGCTTTAGTATCAATAATTTCACATTATGACATTTTCTCAGATACCCACTCTTCTTAATTAATGTGAGCTTTATTTTTATTCTTGATGAAATCTACATACATCGAGAAAGAAGCCGCGATGTAAGTAGAATAGTTAAGTCTTATTAACTCATGTGTATGTGCAATTGCAGCTGCAGAACAGTTTATGAGCTTGGAGTCAATATTTAGTTTGGATTTTGGAGATAGTCCTGGCAAACGTAAAAACCCAGGAATTAAGGTCATGAAATCGCTTATAGACAACATTCCATTTCGCTGATCTTTCAAAACAAAGAAAGCACTCTACGGTAGCAAGTTTATATATCCAGTGACTAAGGTCAGGCTTGACAATGTAACAGCTGCAAATGCGAGAGAAACTTCTCCTATGACGTAAGGCACATAAGCAACAACTTCAACAGCGATTGGAGTATCATACTACACAACTTATAACCGCACACATAATTTGCTATCTAAAATGCATATTAAGTTATTGACGCATTTCAGTGTAAACAGTGGAAACTCAAACAGTGTCTTTGCACTGGTCTGCAATGCCGCCGTCTATCCACATATAACACGATCCTATAAAATGAGGCTATTAGAAAGCAAAACGCAAGGAAATGAACAACTTAGTAAGTACGTAAGTTCGCAACGGAAGTACGCTTAATGAGCTATCGTCAGTACTGGGCAAACGCTTAGCGCGCAAAGTAAACCAAGAGGGAGTGGACGCTTTGTTGCTTTCTTGCTTTGAAACGTTATAATATATATTCAGTAACTACTTAATTGCAAAGCAGAGAACTGAAATGATCACCATATCATGGAATGGGATTTGCTTAGGCAAGTATCTCACCTGCCATACTCTGCAGTTTTACAAGTAACTTCAAGAATAGCGCGCGGTAACACAAATTAATAATAAAGCGGACAAGTATACGCCATGGCGAAAATTAATGGTACGCAGAAACACTCTTCTATTAAATAAGCTCTGACCGTCTAGACCGTTAATTTTTTCATGGTTATAGTGCACTGTACTCAACAATTGTGATTCATTGCAGTTGCAGTATTTCTTATAAAGATATTTAGTTAGAATATTATGGAATTAGAATTTCTAACTTTGCTGTCGAAATGCTTGTTTTTTTTTTTGCTATGTAATTTTAATTATTGTATTTTATAAACAACTTTATGCATTATAATTTGAAGGAATTTCGTTGTATTGTACCATTGTAAAATATTCCTATTGTTTAACTTTTTAATAAAGAAGTTAAAATAATTAATTTATTAAATAATTATTATTATTTAATTTTTATTTCTCAACGTATTTTATTTTGCTATTTTTAATATTATTTTTAATTAATAAATCCTTCTTTACTTTGCATATTTTCATTCACTTTTGAACTACTTTTAGAAAGTTTTAGATTTTTTTGCATATTCTAATTTTGTTTTGTAAAACTTCACATTTTGTACAATAATAGCAACACGATTATTTATATTACTTTCTTTCGTCACATAACTTAACAATAACAACCTAACACGATTGCAATACAGCTGCAAAAGTCTTTTCATGCAATAATATCGAATTCAACTTTATTTTCTACCTTCATATTTGAACTGCGGCATTTTCATCGGCTTTATTCTTATATTCTCAATAATCGGCAAAATGTTCAGAGCCACTACACAACATTAACGACGAAGCCCAAAGTAAAACTAAACTATATTGTAAACGACACGCACTGATGATATGAGCAAATTGCACTGGCGAAGTCGTCCTATCGGCCAAGGATACTTCGCTCGCTAACGAGGTTTTTAGCGACAGCGCTGCTTAACGAAACTTCGAAATTCATAAACGAAGCATCAGTTTGAGCTTACGAAGCCTATACCAAAATGTATTTTAAACTGTGTAGGTGTATGTGTGCGGAAACAACCAACGACGAATGAAATTTGTCGAAAGGATGTTTCGGAAATTCAAATCAAGATGTTGACGCGTTGTCACCAATTAGATAAGTTAGCTCCTCGGATTCGTTTCATAGGAATGAATTTCTGGTTAGTTGGGTTTTTAGTGGCAGCTCCAGTGAATATTACTGTTTGGGATCATATACTGTGTACGATGTGAAGAGCATGCAAATATTTTAAACATAAAGAGATTTTTAACACAAGTGAGTATTAGTTTAAGCCGATTAGCTTTCTATCACTAAATAAATGTTTGCAGAGTAATTTCGAAAGATTCTAAAGTATTGAAGGTTAACAGCATGAGTTTGTAGAGAGTTTGTGGAGAGTGAGTGAGTTAAACTTAAACCAATTTTGTATAAGAGTAAAGTTACTAGTAATATATAAATATATGGGGATTAATTTCGAAAGATATTCAAATTTAAAAGTTAACAGAGTGTGTGTGCACAGAGTTTGTAGCAATTTTTAACAAAAGTTAATTAAACTTAAACCGATTTATAAGAGTAAAGGGTAAAAGCAATAAATAAATATATGGAGAAATATTTCGAAAAATGCTAAAGTTTTAAATTTTCACAGTATGAGTGTCCAAAGAGTTTGTAGAGATTTTTAACAGCAGTGAGTTAGACTTAAACCGATTTTGTATGAGAGTAAAGGATACTTGGAATATATAAATGTATAGAGAGTAATTTCGAAAAATGCTAAAATTTTGAATTTTGTGAGTGTTAAGTTTAAATCGATTTTGTATTAGAGCAAAGGTTACAAGCAAATAAATATATGAAACGTGTTGAAATATTGAAGGTTAAGAGCATGAGCGTGGAGAGACTTTTAACATAACTGAGTATAAAATTTAATCAATTTCGTATAACAGCAAAGGTTGCAAGCAATTTGTAAATATTATATATGAGAAGCAATTTCGATTAAGAAATTTACATGTGTATATATTCATCGCTAAAGTCCTCTTCCGTTCGCTATATTAATATTGTCCAACAGATTTACTTTGAATAAATAAATCCCTCCGTGGTTTGGAAATCTAACCTACGTCGTTCCGTATTTACATAGCAAGAGGCTTAACTTAACTTTTGCATATATTGGTATACAATATTTATACTTTTTAAGGAAATTTGAATTGAATAATTCACACTCGTCGTATACGTAAAGCAATCTGAGTATCACTTACAATTCGAATACCTTTGATGCCTCTAAAAGACATACAATTTTAGCCTGTAAAAATTTCTCAACAATTCAGTCACTGTACCAGTTCTTTTGGATAACGAAAAATTCTAACTGCTGATTGATAGCTCGATTAGTAGATTAAACTAGCGTCTATTGCTATAGGTATGCTCTAAATATTGTAATACCTCAACTAATACTGATATATTTCTGTTCTAACTAGTCTTTTGAATTCGACACTCCACTGTTAAGTTTGTAGACGCCATATCTTCCACTGAAAAAGATTATAAAAAAGTATATCAAGCAAGACAAGTTTTATATAAATATGCCGGTTATACAAAAGCCCTCTTAAGTTTATTTATAGGCTACTCATAAAGGTACCTATGTAAAAGTAAATTAGCTTAATGTAGGTCAGTTTTGTTTACAAGTCATTACCGTTGGGAGTGAATTACACTTAATGAGAGTACGACTGTAAAAACTCGCGCAAATTAAATGAATTGTGAATTTCGAAACTTTAACTAACCTCAAAGCAGATATTACTCTCAGAGTGCTAAGTTGGGGAGAGCTCTAGTGAGTCACATGTTCACTTCAACTCAATACTGTCATGAGTGGAAATGATTAACTGAGTGGAAATGATTAACTGAGTGAGAAATCAAGATTTCACTAAAGTAATATATTAAGAAGGAATATGTGATAGATGTGAGTGATACTATTATTGTGAATTGAGAGACTGAAAGTCTCAGCAAGCACACGCAAAGGCATAAAGTATATATGTATATATTGTACGTTTGAACGAAATTTCAAAAGGCGTTTAGAGCTTCGACTTGTTACTTTCATCACATAGTATCAATGTCTAAATATTATGTGTCAGGTGCCACTACGAATAGTCTTTAAATTGCTTAAGTTGGTCATCTCTTATGATTTTATGGCTCAAGTAAGAAATTTAGCTATGTAAATATTAAAATGTCTTAAATCACTCACATTGGTGATACATTTTTGCGCAGTATTGATTGACTGGTTTTCATATTGGCAACAAATTGACAGAAAGTTTATTATGCTCATAAAAGTCGTATATAACTATATTCTAAATTTTGCTTTCTCCTTAGTGGCAATACTTATACTATGTTGCTTTACAAATTCGTTCCTCATGCGCTTTCGTTCCTCACACGCTTTTGTTTACAATTATGCGCCCTAAAGTATGATTGTATGCCTGCTTAGAATAATATTATATAAGTACATAAACATTTAGACACAGATTTGAATGGCAGCTGTTCGAAACTGTCAGTTATGTTGCATAAATGTTAATAACTCAAATCAAACGAATGTAAATAGTTGAGTACTAAAGTGCACCACAACACTCACCACTTTCACACGCTCCCGAAATGAAACAGAACAAATATGGCTATAAAGGCTTTTCTAACTTGCAATTTTATTTAGTCTTTCAAACTATAAAGTTGTTTAAAAATGATTTGAAAACGAGATGAAAATATAGATATCCGGGTTGGCGCACAACAGGACTCAGCTCAAGCGTATACGACGGCGATCGATCGTAAAAAGGAACCCGTGTCCAATCGTCCATCCCTTTTGTTCGTTGGGTAGTGGTGAGATCGTGGGTGTGTTGAAGGTGAGGTGTGTGTTGGTATCCCTCGGTGAATTGTGTAAAGTTGTATGTATTGGTGTGTGGTGTTTTCAGGAGTGGATGGTAATGTTGTGGTGTGTTGGAATTTATCAGTGTTGCTTGTGAAGTGGTGTGTGGTGCGAGCGCAGGGATGTTTGCTGGGAATAATATAATAGATAGCTCATTTAGCCAGAATGAAAATTCCTTTTGGTAAGTGGCGTTTTGACTGGAACGATTGCTTAAAACTAAAATCAATAGGTAGAACGGATATGATAAAAATGAATAAGCCAAGTGGAATTATTTTGAGCTCGTGAATCAGAAAAAAAAAATATGTGTACCTTATACGTATATTTTCTAAGTCCAAGATTTGTCCTATATGTGTTAAAGGTGATTTGTAGTAACAAAAATTATAAGTACTGAATTGAAAATAAGTGTTTAACATATTTTTTATGCAATGTTATTAGTAACGCCTGTGAAAGAAAATTTTAATTTTAATAAAGTTAATTTTACCACTTTAAGAATGTGTATTGATACGAAAAAACGATCTATCAGAAAAAGAATACTTTTAAAATTTTAATTTTTGATTACTTAAAATAATCAGTAGGGGTTCCCACAAATGTTTTGAGCTTATACAAAATAAGATATGGCAGCGCTACAATTAGTTATGAACTACGATATTTTGTGAACGGAAATTTGTCGTTGGAAATAAACTTTTAGTTAGACAAATTTTTTCTGTTTGGTTTTGCCTTAGATTAAATATCTTACTCAACATGCAGGAAGAAAATAGTTCAACAAAATCACATACATTTTTGTGGTATATATTAGGGTTTTTATTTCCAGGTTATATTATATTTGTCACGAAGTTTGTAACACCCAAAAGCAAACGTTAGAGACCTTATAAATTATAAATATAAATGATCGGCGTAAAGAGTTGAGTTGATTTAGTCATGTTTGTCTGTCTGTCTGTACATACATGAATCTAAAATTTTGTGCATGCCCGTTTCTCCCCAAGATATGGCAAATATCGGACCACTATAGCATATGGCTGCCGTATAAACTGAACGAACGAAATCAAGTTCTCGTAAGGGATCTATAAGTTTAGTTATTTAGATTTTCTAAAATGAAAATATAAAAATTATAAAGTCTATCGAATCAGACTTTAGCAAAATAAACTTTTAATAGCCATATTAATTGAATGACCTAGTTATTATAGCTAGTTATGGCAAGCACCCAATTATTAAAAAAAAAAGTATAATCTGTTATTGCAGATAATCAAGTAGTTTCACTAAAAAATGTTTTTGAATAGAAACTTAATATCGTAGATAAGTCCCCGAAGACTGAATAAGAAATAAAATAATAAACATCTTCTAAGCAGTAATTTGTCTATTACACCATTTATTGAGCCTCGTTTGGTCGAAGGTGCTGAAATAATATTTGGGAATCTTGCGATATAACTGAAGGTATTTCCACAAATATTGGATCTTATTTTCACAAAACAAAAACAATACTACTTGCCTATGCCGGCAACTGTTCACAGCTTTTTGCCAACTAGCCAAATTACACCCATTTATGCGCTAAGATGTACTTACATAACTATCAAGGCTAAATTACCACTTACGCTTATAAATCTGTATATGTATTCACTTTTCACAAATTACTGTATTTACTAAAGCTGAATATTCCTCTTTATCTGTTTGCAAGCACGTACCAAAACGTAATTTTGTGCTTCCCTTTCTGGAGATTTTCTGCTATTTTGAACATTTTCGCAGTGTCCAGCCAAAGGAAAAACTCTAACGCAATGCCAGTGACAAAATTTATTGCTAAACTCACTTAAGATATCGATTTAGCGGTCCAGTTACTCAGATTTGCACTTACTCCTGTAAAAAATACATACAGAAGTAAAGTTACAAGTGTAAAGTCATTTCCTTTTATGAAAATAGTCCAAAATATAAATATGGCAACATTATCGTTCATATAACTTAAACAATCAAATGTTAAA